TTCTTAATTAATTTTTACATACATTTACAAATAAATATGAACATATTTGTGTAATGGTCAAAAAAAGAATTTTTCTCATATCGCGTCAATGATTGAGTGTTTATTATTTATTTGTTCTCTTTTTTTTTTCTTTCTTTCTTTAAGAAAGAACCATGCTAGGCTGGGAAATCTTACTTATTAAAAAGGTCATTAAGACAATTTCGTGTAGCCATATGAAAATCAAAAGTTGATAGAGATGCGTAGAAGTAGGAAAATTCTATGAAATTCGTCATTGGGAAGACTCAGAAAAGCGATTGTTTAAAAAAATTTAAGTTTTAAGGAGTTGAATAAAACACATGTACAGTATATATTTTTTTTTTTTAGATAAGAAATTCGCTTATCTAAAATAAATGCGCGATTTATCAAATATTTGAAATCGCCAACCTCTGAGTCATTTTTAACATGTATTACAAGCATGCATTTCATTATAGGGTTATGGAATTTCAAAGTTAACGGGACCTTCTTAAGATTGGTTCTTCTTATAATGTTAAATTATTTCGAAATTATTCAAAAAAAAAAAAAAATGATTTAAAACATAATTTACAATATAAAATTCAATGCATAATTATTATATTTTTTTAAAAATCATTATAAACAAATAACTTTACTTTGGGATTGTACACATATATGCATTAAATATTTTTAAGGATTTTGATTTCTACAAACAATATCAAATATGTATCGATCGCCATAAATTGCACTCTAATCCCGTAAAATAAAAATCTTGTGAAATAAAAAATCAGATTAAAATCACTAATAAACAATAACCATATAGACCTTTCATTTTCCATAATTCGTAACTCTTCTCGCTCTCTTCAAAATAAACAAGCAAGATCACGAGATGTCCATAAATCCTGCTTTTTTAAATAAATGAAAGGACCTTTTTTTTTTTTATATATATATAATATAGTTTTTATCGTTAAATAAACAAAATATTTTAATAAAATAAACAGAGATCATAATTCCCTACCAAATTTTAATTACTTGGCTCCATTTATTTATTGATTTGGTATTGATCGATTGCGTTACAAACACCATTTCTTAGGGATGACACGTTTCGTTGCTAGAGGAGCCATTTTACAAATAAAAATGAAGTATCTGTCCTTTCCTTTCCTTTTCCTTCTTCATCTTATAAACTTCTCTTCACAATTTTTATATCTATGGGCCATTTTCATTCGAGAAATCATTTAATTTCGAACTGTTCACGTAAAAGTTTGAAAACCTCAACGACAACAAACTATTCTTCTCAATTTCGATACTTTAATGGTAGAAGGTTTCATAATAACGAAAATTCAATATACTTCTTGCCAAATGACAATGAAGAAGGTTAGTGTGAAAATCTGTGGTATGCTGCTAGAGCGTTTTAGTGATGCACACAAAATAAATACTTTAATTTTTTTATTCCTTACCTTAGTTGATAGGCTTCAATTACAGCATTTCTTATTCAGATATATTTGGAAAAGCAATTTTTCTGCGCCAATCAACGACCTTTTGGATCAAGGGAGTGCAAACGTGTTAGATGTTGGGTAAGTGAAGAAATGAGCAAAAAAAAAAAAAATTTCTTCATGTGAAAAAAAAATTTTGCTCATACGTTCCTTTTTCCCCTCCTCTTCCCCCCCACACAAATCCTTTCTTCTCGAAACTTTCAGTTGCGGGCCAGGAACTTGGTTACTAGAGATGTCAACAAATTATCCTCAAAGTTCATTCACGGGCATTGACATATCTCCCATATATCCTGGTGATATCAAACCGCGGAATTTAACATTCTACACGGAAAATGTATTAGAAGGTTTACCATTCGCAGATAATACCTTTGATTTTGTATATATGAGATTCATGATAACTGCTTTCACGGTGGACGATTGGCAAAATAAAGTCGTAAAAGAATTAATTCGAGTGTGTAAACCTGGTGGATGGGTGGAATTTATGGATGGCGATTTGTGTTTCAATTCTGAAGGTCCAGCTGGAAAAACACTGATGGATGCATGTAAGTTGATTGATTCTAGGTAAAAGAAATGAAAAAGTTGATCATGATAATAATTGATATTAACTTCGTGCCTTTCTTCTTATCAGTCCGATCAATACTTGTATCTAAGCAAATTAATCCCAACATAACCAAATGCCTTTATCCTATCCTATCTTCCATGCCAACTATAACATCTTTATCATCCGAAATAAAACCTGGTCCTATTGGTAGTTGGGCGGGAAGAATAGGCGAATTAGCGAGTCAAGATTTTTCACAAATCTTACATGCTATGAAACCTATATTGAGTAAAGTAATTGAATGTACTGAAGAGGAGTATAATGAGTTGGTTGAAGAATTTGAAAGAGAGTGCAATTCGAATAAGACCAATTTTGTACATTTTAGGTTCTTTGCAAAGAAAAAATGATTTAAATTATTAAATTTGGTAATTTTTTATGTAGATCTAATTTTATAACATTTTGTATAATAACCATTCTGCAAACACTTTTAATATTCTCTATCAAAAAAGAAAAAAAGAGGGGGCTAATGGTTTTAAGGTGTTTATTTTTTTTTTTCTCTTTCTCTTTTTAATTTTATTCGACTCGTTTTAGCTAAATTCAAAAAAAAAAAAGTAATGTACATTAGTTCGTTTATTTTTCAATTTTTTAAATATTAATGTTGATATCAAATTTCATCATTTTTTTTTTTTTTTTCTTGTTTATGTATTGAAACAAAAAATCTAATTTCACAATACAATATGTAAGGGGCAAGTTTATTTTTTTTTTTATTTTTGAAACAAAAATTAAAAACGTCTTGACACACTTTCATTTTTTTTATATTCCATATCAATGTGCTTTTACATGAATGAAAAGAAAAAATTAAAAAACCAATAATATCCTTGCATAAAACGTAACGTTATTACCACTAAAAGTTGCAAAAGTTAAAATTCGGTTATCAATTCAACAACTGAGAGTTTCAAATTTTTTAATCTGTGCACCCAGTAATTACTGCTGTGATCATTTGATTTGAAGTTATAAAACACAAACTAATATGGCTAATCATACAGATATTTGCGTCACAAAACATCATTTTTTTAATTCAAATTCAACGAAAATTCATTTTTATGGAGAACAGAAAAAGAGTAATTTGAATTACCGTTTTATTAAAAAGCTGAAGAATGTGGTTTATTGACAGAAAATTACCTCGGTACGATAAATATGGCTTTCCGTATGAAAAATAAAAAATTCGAATAAAAAATTCGAATCGAAGTTTTGTATTCGAATATTGAAAATCGAATCATTTTTATATTATTATTATTATTTTTATTTTTTTTATCCTCTTACTGCAAAAGAACCCTCGCAAGTCTTACCTTAGAATCGAGAAAGAGAAAGATCCGTTCTTTAAAAAAGAAAGTTGCTGAAAAAAAAAAATTGAATAATCATTCCGATATTCGTTTGATATTTGAAACTCAATTTGAATTACAAACGGAAACCTGTTCCTTCTTTTTTTATTTTTTTTTTTTTTCAAGGGATGTTTTTATCACAATTATTATGTCAATAAAATTCATAGTAACGAATTCTATGAGAAAATTTAATAAAATTAGAAGCTCCAACGTTTGAATGGTTACACCGTAATTATTTAAAAAGGTGGATTAATTCTAATGGTTTAGAATGCTCAAATGTGTAACAATTATGTAATCATGTTGGAATCAAGTTTACCAATTATTAATATTAATACGTAAAAAGGATACTAAAAAAAACTTTTTCCCGAACCTTCCTTTTTTGGTTAGCCTTTTTTTGGTTAACTTGAATTTTATAGTCACGTGGCACTGGATGTCATGCAAATGTAAATTAACAATGTTATGTTGAACAGAAAAAGATTGGGCTGAAGATGTGCAAGCAAGAAGAATGAACTCTTAATTAAACGAAAATAATGAATTAACTTTTACAGCGATTTCCGATTTACACAAATTTTCGGATTTAACTTTTTACGTTGGTACATTAATAAAGAAAAGGTTATGAGGCATATTAACGTGATTTTCACCAAAAGATGAGGATCCACAAAATCACTTACGATTTTCTGCTGATCGAATTTTCCAATTTCGGAATACACGTGAAAAATAGTAATTAATTATTTTAATCTATGGAAAGTTTCCCAAGAAAATTTTTAATTTTTTTAATTTTAAATATTATTACAATGAAAATTTAAAATTCTCAGAACCTGATCTTCCTAACAATATAATTTAATCCTTGCATTATGATGAAAATATCGAGCATTGATATCGCATCAAAATTGTCAACTCATAAGGATATATATACAGTCCCCGTCAAAAGTAATGGCGGACAGTTTTTTTAACCTTATACATGTAATTTTATATCAAATATAGGTAAATTTTTTTTTTAAATAAAGATAAAAACAATATTTATAAATTTTATTAGATAATTAATATGTAGTGTGTCTTCCATTTGCATCAATGCATGCTATTGATACAGTTAAGTAATATTGAGTTATCAAGATTATCCCATTTCTTCATTAAAAAAAAATTTCATTTGAAATTTTTTTCGTGCAACTAATATTTTTAATATTTTTTTCTCAATTTTTTTTTAAAAAACTGCCTAAATATTGTACGTTCCTATTCCAAAGGAACTATATGACTTTGCGACTCATTTTAATAGATGTTGATGGTATTGTGATTTCGGTGAGTAATAAAAAAGTTCAAATGGGTTTAATTTATTTTTTTTATTGTTTATTTTATATAAACATACCATTATCTAATTTGGTCTAATAAACAATGAGCCAAATTGGGATAACGGAGTTGCTGTGGTCTACACAAGAAGCAATGTTCCCAACCGCCATTACTTTTGACGGAGACTATATACATACCACGAGTTTCTTCCATTTTTTGCATAACAAAAAGACAGTTTACAGCATTTTTTTCTTGTACATTACAAATAATAATATCAAAAAATGAATTATCTGCAGTATTTAAATAAAATTCTTATTCAAATTCTTCATTTTCAATTATTAATTGGTTTGCATCAAGACAGTTTGGAATATTACACTTCATTGTAATACGACGTTGATGTTGTAATAGCATTTGATTAATTTGATCATTTTCAGAGATTTGAAAATCATTGGACAGGTTTTCAAATTGAGCTTTTTCATTATCATCAGTATCGCTAGTTGAATTATCAAAGCTACAGTCATATTTTAAAGTATGTAAATTGTTTCGAATAATAGTAGTATATTCAGATA